AGTTGGTTTTGATAGATTGGATATTATTTCCGTTAGGTGATACATTCATGAGCATTTTGCTTGCCAATCGATGATATTTTATGTTCTTTTAGTTATTTTTTGTAAGTTTTTTGGCATATTGTCTATAATCTTTGATAATTAAATTTTATCATTGAGTGTTCTTGATAGTACACTTGCTATTGAATTTTATTAGATAGTGAATCTTATGTTTTCCAAATATGATGATCTTGGTGGTTCTTGTACTCTAATATTAGTTTATCAATGATAATTTACTTGGAATAATTTTGTGTTTTAATCTAAGATTTATTCACTAATAATTAAGTCTCTAAGATATCATTAGCTCTAACTTTAATATGGCCAATATAGGTAAATTGCTTTCAGCACTTTGTATGCATGGTGAAATTTTTAGTCATGGGATAGCTATTATTGACTTGTCACATCACTTGCTTCTTTTTTGATGTTTTTTATTTCGTTAAAAGGGGTGACTATGTAAAGAGCATTAAAATGCTTGACCGTTAAAAGGGCATGACCATGCCTGTTTACAGTAGTCTGTCTAAACCTTACTAATAGGTTTGGTTTCTTTACTCATGAGGGTTGGGGCCTTTAACTTCTCTCTCTATACCACATATAAGTAGGGGTATATCATTTTTGTAAGTTGGGTGACACCCAAAGCAGTAAAGGTGGCTAACTCCATTAGTCATTTCCTTGTTAGCGACAGCCATAAAGGGTTTGAGTTGTAATGCATTTGCATTAGAGAGAGAAATTACCTCCTAACTCATTTAAATCAGTGCATTTCTCATAAAGTGTGAATACTATAAAAAAAATTTGGAGTTGTTTCCTTAGCGATGATCTAGATTAGAGTATGCATCAACGAGAACGTCGATCTTCCCTAAGAGGGGGAAAATGTTATAAATATAATTGTGGGTATCGAAAGGTACTTATTGGCTAGTCCTTTTGGATATTGTTTCCTTACTGTCACAATGGTAAAAAGTTAGTATTGCTAGACCCTTTTTCAGTTCCTCTTGTTCAAGTGTTAGTAAATTGGGTTTAGCAACTGTACTTAATCAGATGAACATAAGGTAGAAACTCCTATATGTTTCTTGCTAAGCATACTTGGCCTGGCTTTTAGTTTTCTTTTGCTTTGTCTTGCACTAGCTTGACAAGAACTTTTGCATATTGATATTAGTCCCTCAATATTGTTAGATGATATCTTATTATGTCTGCTAAACACCCTCGTTATCATGCCCTTTGTGTTAGTTCTGTTTGGTCCTAATTACTATTTATAGAAAGTGTTTAGTTTGCGGCATATCTACGGAATATAAAGATTACAATGGTGTTGGTTCTATATCTAAATTCACAACCTAGCACCATACTATATTTAGTAAACTTTACACTTGTCCCAGAGATTAACTTTTGGTACTAAAGGTGGTTAAGGGTGAAATCCCAAAGCACGTGTTCCTCAAAAGGGAGGGGGGGGGGGGGGGGGGTGGTGGGAAGGGGTTCAAAATGGCAAACTAACTTAAGGGATAGTCCAATTCCCGCTTGCATGGTTGTTTTACATTCGACTTGGGTCTAAGGCCAAGCCCAAGTTCCAAAACATGTTAGCTGGGGGAGTACCTATATCCCCGGGTTAAGCCCTCAATATATTGAAATAGCCCCAGATTTTGTTTTAGCTCCGTTTTATATGCTAGTCTTGGGGATTGGGATGCTATAAACTCTAGAATTATTCCAATGTCACTTTGGGTTTTTGTCCTTTTGCTTTTTGGGCTGAATGTTTAAGAGTAGTTCTATGCTCTAGTTCTTTCACTCTTTGGCTGCAAGTTTGGGAGTTGGGCTCTATCTCTTCCTTTAGTGGCCCAAGGCTCTAAAACTCAAGTTACAATCCATTGTCCTTAAGCATGTGGCATGTGTCATATAAAGGGATAAGTTCTATTTTGTGGTTATCTTATAGTAAATCACCATAGAATAAAAGGGGAAAACTATATATACTATACTCACTATTCATAGTAATGCTCACCACCACCAGTATTAGTTTAGGGCTTGAATGCATATCCACTAAATATTACTAACCTTTGATACTTCTTCACCATGTAACTATACCCTTGGTCACTAAACAAAAGGATTATTCCTTTTACTTTCCATAGTTTAAATCTTTGGGATGATAGTTCGAAACATTGCAACTTAATGTGAGTCTCATAGGTACTCCCCCCACCTTCTACCACTAGAATGCCCTAACAATGTGGCTAAAGCAAGGTTCTGATGATCCATGCAAGGTAGTGCCACTCATAGTTGAATTGGGAACATTGATCATTCGATCTCTCATAGTTATTAAATACTTCATCAAATAACCCTATTTATCTATTTATATTCACTTTAGCATTGGACTCTTTAGTAATTATATCATCTTCCACCACCTAAATGTAGTCTTCCTTGGTCATACTAACTTTTTAGCCCCACTAATTCCACTTTGTAAGGATTTACTAAACCCTTTAGGGTCTAGAGACAATTTCTTTAAGCTTTCACCCTTGGATTTAGTCTTGGTCTCAGTCTCAGTTTTGGTCTTAGTCTCAATCTTGGTCTCAATTTCAGTCTCAATCTTGAATTTGAATTTGAACTCGGACTCCCTCTCAAACCTAATCTCAACCTCTATTTCTCAAACTTGATCTTGGATTTAATCTCAAATTTGGTATCGAACTTGAAATCAAACTCAATCTCAGACTAGATCCCAAACTTGGTTCTGACACTTCTGTGTGTTATGACATTTGCCATGTATTAATTCTTTTTGTATCTTGTTTTAAAAACTTGCTTCATTGATCACTTTGTATTTGTTCCTTTGGGAATTCCACTCTCATTCTCAACTTTCTAAGTTGGAACTTTTAGTTCAAATGTATTACATTAGTTGGACTTCTACTTTATCCATTTTCACATGACACACTTTCAACTCCATTTTGGTACTTAGGGATTTGTGTTTACTGATCAAAACATGATTCCTAAAATGTAACCAATACCACACACACATTGATTGCTGCCACAAACAGCCAAATGCAAATTCTTAGCTTTTGATATAACTTGCAAAGTGCTCAAAGTGATCTTTGGTCCCATATCCACAAGGAGGCAATGGAAAGGTTCCATTTGCCTTGGAATCCCAATGGAAAACCAAATAAGTGGTTGGAACCATTTCAAACATTAAAGGAAATAAAAAAACAAGTATTAAATAAATAAATCAATCAATTAATCAAACATTAAAGGATCCTGCCATGGAGCTTGTTGAGTTAAGAGACTGATCATGAAGAATTTTCAATCTGGAGAGAATGAGCTTGTTGTATGCAAAAGACAGGATCATAATCCAGCTGCAAATTTCTTGGGGAATCACACCTTGTGAATTGGTTCCCATTATATCTGAGGTATGTGGAATTCAAGCTTTTTTACTGGAATGTTGCCACTCAACTTGTTGGATATGACAAAGGAGAACAAACTTGTCAACTTCATCAGCTCAAGCGGGCCTGTGAGATTATTTTGTGCAAAGTTGACCACTTTGAGGTATAAGCAGTTCGCTAGCCTTGAGCTGATCTCTCTGTGGAACTTGTTCACAGAGATCCACGTAAGGCAGGTGCACCAAAAGTTGGCACCTTGCTCTGTATTGAGTTTCCATGGAGGTCAAGATAACCGAGGTTTGTGCACTTATCCAGTGGAGGAACTTCGTTGCTGAGTTTGTTGTCACTCAAGTCAAATATCTCCAGACGATCCAGCTGACTAAATCCTCTTCGAATGCTACCTGATATGTTGTTATAGTTGAGATGCAATCGCTGGAGAGTCTTCATCTATGTGATCGAATGTGGAATGGGCTTCCTTTTTCAGCTACTCAAGCTCATATGGGTATGTAATTATCTTTTTTTTCTGCCATCAAACATCTTCTGTCTTGGGGAATTGCAAGCTTGGCAAGGCCGCCTTGAGAGACAACGTCAAGACACAGATCGTATCTTCAACTTGAGCTCTTCAAGCTCTACGAATTCGGTAAGCTTAAACTTCGTATTGCAGTTTTTTGTTGATTTTTCTTGTTTGTATATAGAGGCCTGTCCCTTCTGTAGACGAGTGAGAGAAACACGATCTTTATGCCGAGGTAGTGTCTTGCGGAAGTTGCAGATGGAAACTTTTTCAATTTTTGTGTAGTTGTATCCGTGCCCCAAAGGATCTCGAGTCCATTGTGCGTTTGTGAAATTGTCTGGAGGAAAAGAGCAGTAAGTGATACACTCTTGTCTGTAACAGATTCTCATCGAATATGACAGGCTTCCATTTCTCTTGGATCCAAACACCGGCGTGTCAATGTACGAGAGCCGTGAGTAACTTTCTCGTTTTCTTTCCATCACAATCAGCTTGCATGAATGCCTCTGGCAGCCGATATTGTCAACTACTTGTTCCAAGAATATGGTGAGAGAAGCAAGCCAACATTCGGGATTTTAGAAAGGTAAGAAGTTTTACTGAAGTGAAACTCTTCGGTATTTCATCATAGTGTGTTCGAGCACTTTAGTCACTGGCTGGGTGCCGACAATAATACGAGCAGGGCGAGGGATGTCACTGTAGAATGGAGCATTGCCAAATCCTCCACAGAAGCTACTTGAGCTCTACTCGAACAACCATGTAAAGTGCTTTGTTTTCAAAGAATTCTAAAAGTTTTTGGTAGTTTGCAAGGCTCGTAAGAGAAGCCCTGTGCGACCTGGAACTTCCTTACACGGGCAAAGGGTCACTTAATTGCTCCAAGCTCAAGCAAATCTCGGGTTCAACACAGGTAACCTTTTGGTCTATTTTTTCCCTTCATTATCATTGTCAAGAACAGGTTCCACTGGTTGATCCCAACACTGGCATACAAATAGTCCGCTATCTCTTTGCTAACTATAATTCGAACCGATGTTGATGCAGATTTTCCTATCAGCTATCATCGTGTTCACTCCATTGAGTGGTACTAATAGTGTATCGCGCTTTTCTCCCAAGAACAGGGAAATGGCAGTTGCTACCATCAGCAAACGGAGGTACCAGCTAAACAGCAGTGTTCCCACAACTATGGACTGGTTGGCTTTCTAGAACGTACGAAGGAGTGTACGGGGTGATCTGTACTAGAGAGAGAAAGAGTTCAGGGTAGGCATTCCTTTTGTACCCCATTTTCAAGAAATGAGGCATTTGGCGCATCACCTGGTCGCTTTTCTGCTACCGCCGGGAACGAGCTCAAGGTTGGGAGGTATGGGTTATGATGTGGGGATCGTTCGTGATTTGGGGTCGTGTCCTTCTTGGTAGGAAGAGAGGAAATTCTGCTTCGCATGCATCCAGGATGTCCCTGGGGGGAGGGTGTGATGTCCTGGACTGAGAAAACCCAAAACGATGGCTGGGACAGCAGTGCTTGGGCAGAATTTGAGAGATTTGGATGCGCACACAGTGGCTATCATCCCTGGACACATTGATGAAAGGAAAGTGTTAGGTCTTTCTTTCTTGACTTCTCGACTCACTGACCAAACTTTTTGTGACGAGGTTTGAAGTTCTGGAGAGCAAGGACGAGCTTGATCTCATTGGACAACAACCACCAGAACCGCTGCGGCAGTTTAACCAGCGCTTTCAGTCTTATATTCGTAAATTCGTCCTGTGTGGCGACTTGATACGGCTGTGCATCACTTTGCCAAGTTCCAGCCTTCTTGGATTGGTCGTTATCAGGTACTTTCTCGTGCTGGCACTAATTCGTATTGGCTAGCAGAGTTGACGGGCACGACACTACCGATGGAGTTCATCTCAAACGGTATTTCTTTTGACTGGTACAGTTCACGTTTTGTTTCTATTGTTTTAATGCTGTGAGTGTCTTTGCGAGAACTATTTTGTTACTCACAGGCCCGAACCTGATTCGGGAGCAGGGCACTGTCTCCTGGGATAAGTTCTGTCCCATTCGCGATGCGGAGACAGCTTGTTGAGGGGCACGATCCTGTGGTACGTAATGCCTCTTTCTCCCCTGTCTCTTGAGGTTTCCGATCGTCACAGTTCTGAGGTGCATTCTTTGTCTCAAATCGCTGAGAATGTTAATCTGCACTTCCTTGCTTTCTGTCATAACTGTTACATTTGAACTGCTTTCTATGTTTTCTTGTTCCGTGGTCTCGTTCGTCTAGTTGTGGCCTGTCGTTAACAATCTTTCACTGGGGATGGCCAAAGCGCTTGGTCTCTCTGGCGTTGGAAAGTTTCATGGCGGTTGGTTCTCGTTGACAGTTGGCCAAGTCGCTTGGTCCTTTCGGCTTGTCAATCGACTGCCTATGACGGGCTGCTTCAAGGATGGATGAGACACGGGAAAATTTGTGTGATGCCTTTCTGTGCTTATTGTCTTTCTTTCATACCATTGCCTCGGAGCTTGAACATCGATGCTACCTCAGAATCTTTGACTTTGGACCTCCAATCACTTGGGATTGAGACTCATTCGCCCCTTGAGAGTTGCACACCATCAACACTGAATCTCTTAGTATCTGCGCACTTGGGACGTGCTTTCCCCAGTGAGTTGCCAAACTGGTGCAATCCGAAAACGTACGGGAGAGTGTTATAAGAGAGAGTTTAGGGTAGACATTCTTTGGATGATGTTAGTGCAGAGGTCATGAAGGGAACTGCCATGGAGATGTGCTCCAGGTCGAGATAGCTTCGTGTTGGCTGGATATGCAGTGGAAGTCGAGATAGCTTTGTGTTGGCTGGATATGCAGTGGAATGACTCTAGCAGTTGAAGCCTGGAGAATCTTTTTGTGGTTGAAGAACTATATTTGTAATGAAGAGCAAGAGCATCATTTACGACAAAAAATCAATTATAATAGAACAAGCAAAATGGTGAGAGGGCTGAAAGAAAATCGAAACTACTACAATGCTACTATATGTAAGTAGACTAGCATATCATCAACCACTTTAGGGCTGATCATTATTTAACCAAAAAAGTTTGTAAATATATTACTCACAATCACTAAGTTATAAATTAAAAATTGATGAACAATTAACCTAGGACAATATATTATTTTTGTATTAAATTTTTCCATTTGTATCAACTTCTAAACTCAAGTTGAATAAACTATAACTTAAAAATAGTTATAAGTTTCCCACCTAATTTCATTTAACTCTAAAATTCATTGAGTTAAATTAAATTTTAGCATTATTGTTTATCTTCTATATTTTATAAAATACATTTAAAATTCAGTAAGTGGTGTAAAATACAGTTTAATATGTAAACACATATTAGGCAATTGCTACAAGGCACAAAACAAAAATCCTCAGTTTATATTAACCAAATAAATAAGTAATATTTAAGTTAACATATAACTTAATAAACTAATAAATAAAAAAATTCTAGTTTTTTAATTAGATATTTGTAAGTTTTAAAACTAAATCTGATCTACATTCCATTCAAATATATCATATCAATAAATATTTTTCTAACACTATTTTGTATTGTTTCAAGTTGAATGAATCTATATTTGTAGACACAAATATTAATCTTTTTGCACCTGATTATTTAGATATTTCATTGAATATCCAAATACTAATTCAAACACTTTTAAAAGGAGCTTTAGGTCACCAAGGGTAGTAATATGCTTTTTGCAAGCTAGGAATAATAAAAATTGTTACCGTCACACTCGAGATCATGAAATGCAAAGATCCTATTTGGAAAAGGATGTCTTTTGAATTCAATAACATGCTTATTAGCCATCCTGAGACTTGATAGCTTGCAAGGATAATATTCTAAATTATTGACAGTAACCGTAATTATGTAGCTTCTTTTGGATGTCAATAGACATGTCTTAGCCTGCCAAAAGATCAATATATAAGTTTGTTAAAATTTTGCTTTCAACTCCACTTTCACTTGCTTTGTCATGTTTGAATGTAGACTTAGATAATTTTTTGTCCAAAAGTAGAACTTTGTTCATGACATCAAAGAACTATAGTTTTTGGTAAAGTTGAGTGAGGATGATATCTGACAATATTATTGTGATGATCTTGCAATACTTATAAACTCAAAATGATGGTATGATCTGGTTCAACAACCCAATCAATTTTATGTTTATGATGTGCTATAAGGTATGTCTTTCCTTCACTTTATAAGGGATTATTTATATTTTTTTTGTTTCTATCCTTTAGTAAAGGTCAAGCAAGATGTATATGAACTTGTGTATATGGAGAAGGGTTGAAAAGAGCTCTTGGCTGAGTTTTTACAAATTGAGTATAAAATTCAATATGTAAAGTCTTTAAAGTTGAAGACACTAGTATGCATTACAAACAATCATAGGCCAAAGGAGCAACTAAAGAGTATAACTAAACTTTATACTCACAAATATAAATTTCTTATTGTGTGCTTCATTTTTCTCAATTACACATATTGCTTTTGTAGTGAACAAAACTTTAAATGATATGATTTACAATATCACAAAATTGATTTCCATATAAATAACAGATAGAGACTCTAAAGTTCCCCAATGTCTACTTGATGAACAAAGAAAAAAGACTGTTAAAAGTATTTGAGAACATGATAAGCAGGGTTATCTATATCATGCAAACTGTGAGCAAGGTCTTGGGATATTTAGTATCAAAGAGTGGGGCTCTTAGGGAGAGTTGCAGTTCTCAACTTCTCACAAAGGTGTGAATTTACAAAGAAGTGTGGTGGATTGTAAGTAATTAAAGAGAATGACTTGAGAGATAATCTATAAAGGTTCAAATATAAAGGGAAAAAACCCATGAATAAAAGTGCACTCTTTTTTCCAATTGATTAAAGGTCTTAGGTTATTTGGAGTTAAATGTCTTTAGGTTTGAATAGTACTGGGCTAAGTGACCTCATGGGAAGTTTAAATTCAATGACGATGCAAGTGACAATGGAGATGAGGATAAGGAAGTTCTAAATCAAACTTATATTCCACCACCTGATAACCAGGATCAAGTTCTAATTTCACTACCAAATGATTATATGATAGTAAGATTTCTTATTCATATAACTCTTCTATAGCCGATAACATATCGAGGCATTGTGGGTGTCTTTATTGGCTCCTACAGTAAATTGTTGATATCTTTCACAAAAGACGACATGAATATGGAAATACAACACCAGTTTGACCATTAGTGCTAAAAGATATAAAAGCCCTTGCAAACTTTATTCTCTTCAACTTTCCAAATAGTTTTCAAATATTGATGGGAAAGTTGAGGACTAGAAACTTTCTCACATCTAACCACTTGTGTGATATATTCTTCTTGTCATAAACATTTCTATACGAAGTTGGCTATATCATTTTTATCTTATTAAATGACCCCAACTGAATGTATGAGCTTATGATATGTGTAGCAGAAGTTTATTTCAAGTCATTCTCCTCTGAATGCATCATGGATCCTATTAACATCAATATTAGGGGCATTCAAAGTAAGTCTGAAAAGGTGAGTAGATATTTCATATTTTTATTTAATTTCTAAACTTTCTCATTTTCCAAGTTATGATGTGAACTGTTGCAAATGTGACTTTAGGTATCGAAAGTTACCTGTTAGTTAATCCTTGTGGATATTCTTTCCTTACTACCATAATAGCAAGAGGTCAATATTGTTGGACCCTTTTTTTCAATCTCCGCCTAAGCTAGTTAAGAAATTAGTCTTTGCGTATGCACTTGACTAAATGAGCATCAAGACAGAATTCCTAAGTGCTATTAGTAAAATATATTTGACTTAGTTAAAGAAACTCATTCATTGACTTGCACTTACTAGTGTTGGGAAACCCCTATGATATTAAGCTTGGTCCCTCAATATTTGTCAGATGATAACTTACCGTGTTTGCCAAACACCCTTGCTATCATACACTTTCTGTTAATACCATTCAATGAAACATGTATGTACATTCCCCAATGTCCCGTAAGGATTAATACAAAAACCAGGCATGCTACCCAAAGGTCACACTATCTAGTGGAGATCTCCCTCATCTAAAGTGAGACTAAGCCTACAGTACAAGCGGCTGCTATTGCCTTCATCGTATCGCATCCAGATCTAAGTCCCCCCTTTGTGCTGACTACAAGATTGACTCCAAGGGGCGCCATTTCCAATGAACCTTATTGTGGTCTCCTTCACCGAAACATGGTAGCCATGCTTTCTGCCACTCCTCGAGCCTCTCAAGCTTCCTCCTGTCTTGGAGGATAGCATGGTGAAGTTGTACTGCCCCCAGTGTAAGTCTCCACCATTCTGCCAGTACCTGTGATACTTTGACCTATGTCCCGTCGAAGTGCGCCCGGTTACATGCTTCCCAAAGGGCTTGGACTCTCATTGCACGCCATACCACCCATCAAGCATGGCCAAGTGCCTCCTACACAGGGACTCCTATCTCCACTCTAGTCACATCTTAGTGGACCTGAATCCCCCAACCATGTCGTCCTTTGCACCTGATGTGTCGCAGGGCTGGGCCCTAAGCAGGACCCCTCGCTCCCTCGAACCAGTGGAGCACATCCCCACTGTGGGCCTCAAAATCCTGTGTAACTGTCGCGAATGTGACTTCGGGTATCGAAAGTTACCTGTCGACTAGTCCTTGCGGACACTCTTACCTTACTGCCACGATGGCAGGAGGTCGGTATTGCTAGACCCTTTATTAGTCCCTCTTGTACTAGTGGAGTTAACTGGGAATTTTGAGTGTACTTAGACCGGATGAGCATAAGGATGGAATTCCTATGTGTTATTAGCTAAGCATACTTAGCCCGGTAAGGAGTTCCCGTCTCGTTTTCTTTTGCACTTGCTAGTGATAAGAACCCTCGCGTATTGAGATTAGTCCCTCAATATCGCTACATGATAGTTTACCATGTCTGCCAAACACCCTTGCTATCTGCACTATTTCGGCATACCAATGGCTTAACGCGAGGATATGGGTACTCCACCAGCTAGCATGGAATGGAACTTGGGCTTAGACCCAAGTCAGACACAGAACAAGGACAAGCACGCAAGTAGGAGCTAAACTATGCCTCAGGTTAGTCGGCCATGCCCAACCCACCCACTATCCCTACTATACATTTGGAACCCCCCCCCGCCCTTGAGGAACACATGCTTTGGGCTTTCACCCCAAGCCTCCCTTAGTATCAAGAGTTAGTTTCTAGGACAAGCTCGAAACTTACTAAATATGGAATGTCCCTAGATTGCGAATTTGGACATGGGATGAATACCATTGTATTTAGGACAATCTCTACATTCTGTAGATATGCCAAATGAGCAAATCTGGACACTTTCCATAAATAGCATTTGGGACCGAAATGAGATTAACACAAAGGGTCTCTCTCAGGGGTTTTGTCTTGCCTCGATCTATGCTGTAGAGTTTCAACTCTTTGCCTTGGACACTCAGTGGGATGAGCGGGCCCTGATTGATCAATTTCGTTTCAGCCTTAACAATGGTGTCAAGGATTTTTTGCTCACCATGGAGGATCCCACGGACCTATCAAATGCCATCAACAAAGCTGTTCAATGTGACAATCGTCTCTTTGAACATCATTAGGAAAGTCGCCGCACCGCCGTTTTTCCGTCCCAGACTTAGGAATCCCAGCTTGAGTCTTCGGGGCATACTCCCAAACTTACTACTCCGGTCCCGATGGATATTTCTAGTACTCCCCGACTCATCAGAGGGAAGTTGAGTCCTACTAAGAAGCAACGTCGAATATCTCATAATCTTTGCCTCTACTATGTTGATCCTAATCACAAAGCAGCTGTGTGTCCCAAGAAGCCTCCCCGACTGCTCGAGTTCACTCTACCTCAAGGTCCACCTCTGTTGTAGTCGGGAAACG